GTTGTTGTAGGTAGCTTAACTTATTTTCTATATAATGTAAATTTAAAAGCATAGTTGATTTCTAAACACCTTTTTAAATTTTGGTATATAGTTTTTGAAAACTTATAATTTTTTGCAGCTTTTTGGTCTTCCTTCCCTGAGCAGTAACAGATACCTTCTGCAATGCCTGTGCTGGCAGAGAAGAGATGGTAGGACTGGTAAAGGACTGCGTTTGCTATCACAACGTAATGGTGAGTATTTTCAAGTATTAATTATTCATATGTAATTAATTCCATGACCATGTTTAATTTCTTATTTGTTATTACGTAATTTTTAATATTATCATCACTTTTCAAAACTTAGTAGAAGCCTACCGTCTTGCAATAATATCAAGAACGCTTCTTTCTGTTTAATTTATTTAGCGTATTTCAGCTAAGATTATGTCGCAAAGTACTTATTTATCTCCGCACTTGACACCATGAGATTCTACGTAATTTTTAACATATTTATCGCTTCTTTAAACTTAGATACCTATAATGTCTTAATAATTTGACGAGCGCTTTTTAACGATTAAATTATTTTGCATGTCTTAGCAAAAGTTATGTGGTAAAGTAGTTATTTAACACCGCACTCAATATCATTGATACCACCAGATTCTACGTAATGTTTAACAAATTTTTATTTCTCATAACTTAGTAAATACCTACCATCTTGTAATAATTAATGGTGCATTCGAGCCCCATGTTAAATTGAAAATTTTTAAGTCACTATTTATTAACTTCTATTTAGTTCACTGTTTGAATTACGTTATTGTAAGTAACTTAAATTATCTTGTATGTAATGTAAATTTAAAAGGATTGTTGATTTCTAAACTAGCTTTTTAAATGTTGGTATATAGTTTTTGAAAACTTTTAATTTTTCGCAGCTTCTTCGTCTTCCTTCTGTTTGCTAATTTTTAATAAAAAAATTACTACTTTTGGTTAAACGAATGAATCTTATTTTTTTCACATTAAAAAAGACAGATAGTAAGCAGTGTGTACGTTAAATAGATTTATTTTATCTTTCTTTTTGTATGAGTAAATATAAAATATAATGAGGTAGTCGTAACTAAAACAAAAAAATTCTTCAATTACGTTATTTTATTTCAGCGGGATTGAAAGTAATGTTTAGGTTAAATGTTAAGAACTGGCGAAAAAGTAAGAGCGTGAAATCATATAACTGAAGCTCCTTTTTATTTAATTTCGCCGTTTGTTGTATTTAAGCACATACGTGCAACTGTTTCATGTCAATCGAGCGCATTGGTTATTTTTTTCCACTCCGAAAAGTTGCTCTCCTTACTGTAAAGCGTACGATGTCCACCGATTCAATCATCTGTGGTTTTGTTTTATCATTAAAACATAATTTTTTGGAAAATTGTGTGTGTAAACCACAGATTGTTTGTACTTTNAAAACGGCGACTACAATGTGTTATCCGGACGGATCACGACTACGACAAAATAAAAATAATTTAAATCAGAAAATTAAATATTACCTTCTTTTTTGTGATTATCTACTTGAACATACAGTTTACCACAGTGTATTTCGTTGTTCTGATATTAAGTTGCTTTTTAATGCGGAAAACATTCCGTATTTTCTTAAAAATTCCGGAGAGATAACTAAATCTTCTTGCAACCGCGCACTTTATTTCGACTGCACGATCCCAAAATTGATAAAATGACTTCTAAAATATATTGATAGAACAAGAACTAGCACCTGAAATATTGGTCTATATATTCTGTTAAATTTTATTACTCTAATAAGGCGCAAATAATGATATTGTCGAGAGACTTCAATGATCGGTCAAGACACGAACCTGAATAAAAGTATCCAATTTTGGCGTTCCTTCTAACAAATTTTGGTTCTAGTACAGAGTGTTTAAGTTGCGTATGAACTATTGTATGATGTTATCATATTGGCATTATACAGGTGTTCACTTTTAGGGTTCAATATAAAGTAATAGTAGAAGCATACCATCTTGCAATACAGTTACAATAACAGCTTGAAAAATTAATGGTAATATTTTTCAAAGATTATTTGACACCCCACTCGAAAACCACTGACACCATGGGATTCTACATAATTCTTAACACTATTATCAATTCTCAAAAGTTAGTAAAAGCGTCCCATCTTGCAATTATTTCATAAGCGCTTCTTTATGTTTAAATTAATGTGTATATTTTAGTCAAAATTATGCCAGAAGGTACTTATTTAAAAGCGAACTCGAAAACCATTGGTACCATGAGATTGTACATAACTTTTAACATACTTATCACTTCTCAAAACTTATCATTAAATTATTTTGCATACTTTAGATAAAATTATGCCTTAAAGTGTATGTTTGACATCGCACTCGAAAGCATGAAATTCTACGCACCTTTTAACGTCATTTTCACTTTTCATTAGTTAATACAAGGGTACTATTTTCCAATAATTTCAGAAGCGCTTTTTTATGTTTAAATTATTTTGTATATTTTAGCCGAAATTATACCGAAAAGTACTTATTTGACGTCGCACTCAAAAACCTTTGGTACCATGAGATTCTACGTAATTTTTAACATATTTATCATTTCTCAAAACTTAGTAAATATCTACCATCTCCCATTAATTAAAGCTAAATTAGAGCCCCATGTTAGGTTGAGAATTTTTAACTCTCTCTCTTTATTGACTTCTATTTTGTTTACTGTTTGAAATACGTTGTTGTAGGTAATTTAACTTATTTTGTATGTAATGTAAATTTAAAAGCATAGTTGATTTTTATACAGTTTTTTAAATGTTGGTAGATAGTTTTTGAAAACTTTTTATACTTTGTAGCTTGTTCGCCTACCTTCCATGAGCAGTGATGGAGAGACCTTCTGCAATGCTTGTGCTGGTAGAGAAGAGATGATGGGGCTGGTAAAGGATTGCGATTGCTACCACAACGCTATGGTGAGTTTTTTTAAATATTAAATTTTAATTTGTAACTACATGTTATGTTAACTACAAATTATTTGGCATATTGTGGGAAACATAGTGCCGGAATGTGTCTATTTGGTATCGCATACAAAAACCGTTGTCCCTATGACGTAATTTTTAACAAAATTAGCAGTTCTCGTAACTAATATATCTAGCTATGTAGACCTGATTTCATTTGAGGGCTGCTAAATATCTTCCATGTGCCAATAATTGTACAAGCGTTTTTCTATGTTCACTAGATGGTGGCAGGCATTTTTGTGATTACAAAATAAAATAGGATATTGGATCTTACGCCTTTAGCACGAGCAGCAGTAGCAGTAGTATCGTAAATTCTTTTTAGGTGTCCAAATTCTTAAAATTTCCAATGTGGAATTCAACACTAGAAATATGTTCGGGTGTGGAGTTTGTGTGTTCTCAGAAGGTCCTTCTTCAAGGTCATGACAGATGAATTGAAAACATTTTCTTGTTTTATATAATTCCTTTTTATTTTGCAGTCACCTAGATTTTTAAATTTAGTGAATGAATTTTAGGATAAATAACCGCAGGCGGGCAGAAAGTAATTTGTTCCGATTCTGATGGTTTTTGAAAATGACCATCATTAAGAAACATTTTTTTAAATCTTATTGTTGGCTCTTTATTAATTATAGAAGTTTTCCTTCCACTTATAGATCCCTTTGTAAGCATTTCTCTAATATATAATAATCTTTTTGTTATAGGTAATCTAATACTTAATAATAATAATAGTATAAAATTTTAATGTCCAATGGTTGTTTCGATCAGAAAAAATTTGAAACAATTAACGAGAAAATAGGTTTGAGAAAGAACAACAAGATCAGTTTTTGGCCAATTTTTGTCAATTCGGTTTTTNTGAGTAAGATACGTAACAAAATACAATTAAAATATTGGAGCAGCAAAAAACATCAGACGAAGATAACAGGCTATACGCAATGTATGAATAATAATGTTCGTGTGCAAAATGTGTACTATATTGGTAAATGCATATTATTATAGAATAATAAAATAATATCTTTTATTTCTCTCCATTTAACGACCGCTCTTTATAACGCCGAAAAATGTTCAGTCCCTTGAGTGTCGTTATATAGAGTTTACACTGTATATCAAAAGTTTCATTACGCCTTTGCAAATCTATACGAGTGACTTCTCAACTTCTCTTAAATGCAAAAAATACATAGGTAACTGATGTTCTGTATAGATGAATATGCCTTGATTTATTAACTGTACAAATGGGATATTCAACACATACAATAAATAATTCCATAATTCGTTTGAATAAGCGGAAGTGCTGCAAGTATAATGTTCGTGAGTTAAGTCGTAAAGCTGGGCAATTTCCTTATGAAGGCATAAATTTTAAATGCACACTTTAATAAGTCAACGAGTGAGGTGGATAGGGAGTGAATCAGCCGTTCGTATTCAACCAGGACCCCGAATGAAATTTTATATATTCATAAAAGAAAACGCAATAAATACGAATTAGCATTTATTCCCCTTTTCCTTACGTAAGGATAAGTCCTTTATTCATATTTGCTCGTCGCTACCTGGTGCCATGGGATTAAAGCCTTCAACGTGCCTTATTCATAGTCAGTTACATGTCCTTTCAGGCATATCAATATAAAGAGATTGAGTATTGGAAGTAAAAATAAAACATAGTCTAAAAAACAGTAATCCAACTAGAGATAAATAAAATAAACTGAAAAGTAAGAAACAAGTTTGCACAATTGTAAAAAATATGTTGTAAAAAGTATTCAAATACAAATACTTTTATTTAATAGAGTACATGAATACAAATATAATAACAAGTATGCAATAAGTTAGGTGCTGATTGCTATCATCTTTTTATTAAGATAAGTCTTTGTACATAATAATTTACATGCACCATAAATGCGTAAAGGTGGTTAATTTCCCCCATTCTCTGAAAGATGCTGACTGGGTGGAGAAGGTCCATGGTGGTAGAAGGATGTCGTCAATGTCAAAAACTGGTCACCATCAAATCTAAAATAATATGAGAACAACTTGAATATTGCTGAAAACTTTTGATAAACAATAAAAAACACTTACCATCTAAAATTTAGCTGTTCCCTTAGTGCAAGATCCAGTAATGTTTACATGGGACCTGAAGCAAAGAAACAACTATTACTTGTTTACATCATTATACAAGCAAATTTTTTGTCAATTATTAGTGTCATTCACTATACTTTTTTAATTAATGTTGATGCTAATATTTGTAGATTCGAATTACAATTGAAATTTTATTTGAAAAAACATACAATTAAACAAACATATTCTATTTGTGTAATAGTATTAACAGTTTTTGTACTTACATTGTGAAGGTTCGCGGTGTTCTTTTGCCATGATTCAGTAATGTTTATATGGAATCTGAAACACAGAAACAACTATTACTTAATTTACATCATTGTACAGTTAAATTTTTTCTAAATTGTTTCTCAATTGTTACTGACTTTCACTATAGTTTTTTAATTACTGTTGATGCTAACATTTGTAGATTCGAATTACAATTGAAATTTTATTTGAAAAAACATACATTT